TTATAAACACAGTATAATAAAATACAATAGAGTGGTGAATATCTGTGATTTCCTGTTTTCTGATAAATTTGAAGAACATAATCCATCTCTGTATTTAATAATGTCTAACTAACACATTGAAAATACAATGTTCACTCCAATTCATGACCCTCATTGACCGTGGTATACTATATACACACCATTTATTATTGTATAAAATGTTGAAGGCTATCAATTTACATTGATTAAACTTGTTTAATGCATTAATATCTGTTCAAAAAATAAAAAATTCTAACGGTTATTCTTTATTTTTACAGGTCATAAACTCATAAATAGCTAAAGCTGCAGCTCCAAATACAAGATGTAAAAAGAATTTATAATTACTGCTGAAAACCCTTCAAAGCCAGAGGCCGATAAAATGTATTTGAATAAAATAGGATATTAATTTACAATTATTAAAATCAAAAATTTTTACGTCTCCAAAAAAAGGGCATGAAACGTCGATTGCAAAGAGTATTTCAAGTTGCCGTTTATATTCAATTTTTGTTATAATAGGTACGGTAAAAAATCATTAACACAAAAAGCACTTAAATGGTCGACAATTCTATAGAAGTAACTTAGAGATAACCATCTTTGAAATATATTCAAGAAGAACGGTCGATGGTCCTCAAGATCGCCGCTGTTAATAATAATTATACCATACTACGGCGCATATATACATATATAATATATGTAGTCGACAATTTATTTTTACAAAGTGGTTCGAAACAAAAAGTATTACCCACACCTTACCTATGCGATACTCTTGGTGAATCAAAAATTAGGAACAAGACACGAAATTTCTGCTATTTAGCAGAATATATTATTATTATGCTACTAATGGGGGGAATTTTCGATAATGATCTCCAAGAAATGTTTGAATAGATTGCGATCTAAATAATATTATGTATATATTTACTAAAAACAAATACATAAATGTGCCTAATTGAMCGAATTCTATACTATTAAATACATATGTATTAGTTTTATAATTCGTTCGTAATATTTTGTGCTTTTATACTCACTATACAACTCATCACCAACAGCTGTAGCACACACGACACACGTTACATAATATRTGTATAGTATATCAGTATATTATATATGGTAAGAAAATGTAAACGATTTTCTACAGAAGATGATCACGGCTGTATAACAGAATTAATTAACAGTAATGATAAATTGTCATAAAAAAGTTAAGAATTATTTGTTGAATACAATAGTAATTATAATGATTGAAATGATAAAAAAAAAAGTTATACTTAATAATAGAAATTAAAAACAGTGTCAAGTAGATTTGTAGGAATACGTGTGCTAAATTTAGTAGGTTTGAATCGGTAAACATTTTTTATAATACTCGCATTCAACAGACACGGGGAATACATTACAGCTACCTATTTATATGATTCATAAATGTCGAAAAACAGGTACCTTATAACTATATGAAAATATTATTATATGGCTGCCAGGTTCAGGATTTAAAAATTTCATTCTAGATATGGTTATTTRTAAACTTTATTAAAAATGTCTTGTTTTGGTATGCAGTATAAAATATATGCACACACATATTTACAGCGTGCATATGCAAACGAACCATACGAAGAACTATATCATACTTAATTCTTAAAACAATACAAGTGTTTTAGACGTTTAAGATATTTAATAAATAGTGTTGTAAATTAGATAGAGAGGACTTTCAATGGTTCAAACTAAGGTGCTAAATTTATGCAGTTAAAGGAATAATTGTATAATGCACCAAATTGTTCAAAGGTRACAAGTATTATTGATATTTGAATAATATGTATTTCATAATATTATTTGAAAAGATAAATTGTCGGCTTGTATATTATTTTCTACGCTTATGTCTTCTTAATGTTCTCAATAATAGATACCACACTATATTTTGGGTAATTTAAACTAGTATGTCATATTATAATAATAAATATTATAAAAGAAGATTAGTATTAATCAATGACGTTATATTATATAATATATATTATATGGGAAAATATTAAAAAATAGAAATGAAAAACAAATGTATGGAAATGTATGGAAATGTATGGATGTAATATGCAGTGTACTTTATAGGCATCCTTTAATTCGGTCCTGATTAGAACTACATAATATAATGTCAAGTTATTTTTTAACGAAAACTCAAATCTTAATATGGTTTTCATTATAATAATTAAGAAAGTTAATCGTAATTTTTAGTTATTAAAAACCGTAAAAGAAATATTCTATACAGTTGTTTCGATTTTTTTTTTATTCAATACACTCGCCATTGTGTTAACTTCTATAAAGTGAATAATATTCATAGCCTTTCTAAATAAGTCTGCAAACTATTTACTCGATGTAAAAAACAAAACGTTACAAACAACGTTTACCAGCTTTTTTGAATATAAAAACATATATATTGTATACTATTATTTTCAGCACACAGAAATTTCAAAGGGATGTGACAGTAACGGGTACATGGACCACCGTTACGGTGTCCGAAACCTTTCAGTGGGTTTTATTATTTATGTTTAAAACACATGCCCAGTGTTTGGAACGATTAACACTCGATTCGGTTTGTATTTGTTTTGTCTCTTTTATTTTTGCCATACAAAAACACCAACGTGATTTTCATTGGCCAACTCAAATGCAAAAGTTTCAAATATATAACAGTCATCTCTGGAATTTCAAAACCAGTAAAATTTATGATGTGGCACACAATTTTTTTTACTATTCTTGATATTTTGTGATCACAAGAAGATACTTTGCAGTGCAATACGTCATTTTAAACACTTAAATTTAAAAAGCTAATTAATRATTTTAACTTACTCGTAACTTTTTAGTATAAATGTTTCCTTTACACATGATTTTTCAAGTTTTTAAACAAATGTTTATTTTTTGTAAGCATTTCTGAATAAATTGAATTATTAAACATAAAAGGAGGTGAKCATGTATCATGTTGTATAAAATAACGAGTCGAGAAATTGCGATTTGATTCAAAAACATTATTTCATAACAATTATTCAGTATAATAATAGTTATGTTGATTTAAAATACTTTACATACTATTTATGCAGTTCGTATTATAATATTAACCTAAATTAAAATAAAATATAACTCTCATAATTATAATTTTTTGCATGCAATAAGTTGATTACCGCTTTATGATATTTTCAGAAGATTAATAACAAACCACCTATTATACTATAAAACTCTCTATTGCTAAACTAATCGTCGAGGACCGCAATTCTTTTATACAATTTTTCAAGATTTTTTATTTGAATTTAGTTTAGGTATATGTATCTAATGAATAGTCAGTATTAATATAGTTAATATTATGTTTGATCATAATACTATACATATTTAACAAGTCATAAATAGTAATGTATTTTTATGATGATAATTTTTTTTTAAACATTTTATTACCTGAAAGTTTGATTTACATTAAATTCCTCACATTTAATAGGAAATCTAAGAACATTTTTTGTAATTTAATTATAAACTGTTATTTTATTGTCATTTTGATAAAAAGACATCGTAAAACCATAAAATAAAATATTTGAAAACACGTCATACTCTCTGTAGTTCATCGCTGTTAGATTCAACTAAATTTTGTTTTTTATAATTTAGGCGTAGATTCGTTAAAGTTATATTATGATTAAATAGAATATGCCCAATTGACATTGTAAATTATAGAGTAATGTTCAAAAAATAAGAAGATTCAGGCCTTGAATTATTTTTTTTTTTAACTTAGTCACTACTATCGTGTATCACTACTTATATCACATTAATAAATAAGTAAATAAGTGATCATTGGAGGAAGGTGGTTATCAAGTTCTCGATAAATGAGTGTCTCTTGCTTAATATGATGAAACGATAAGTTAATAATTTTAAKTGATTAAATAACTATGTTTTTTTAAAATAATTTAGCGTGGAACAAGTAATTGGAGGTAATTTYTTTTTGTGTATTGATTAAATAGGTTGAACTTCTCATTCACCACCTTTATTGGACATTTTAAACATAATGCAGGTAGTTTATCAAAATTACTGTCTTATTTAATTATTTGTATGTGAATTTTTTTGATCTAACGATTATTTACTAGTCTGATGTTTTTATTGTTATATTATTTCTAGTTGTTTAAATTTAACTTATTTGATTTAACAGTTCTTAAAGAAAACACTTCTATAGCATAACACATGATATCTATCAACTATTATTTTTACATATATTTTTCAAACGGGAAAACGTTAATAACTTGTAATACATTTAATTAGCGAAGGTTTGTCAAATTATATGTTCTAAATGTACTGAATTCTGCACGATATCAAAAGATTCTAATTATAAATGAAAATAAGTACATTTTATTAAACATAAATTTCAGAGAAATGAGATTTCAATTATTTAAATTCGCTTGTTAAGTACCACATTCATATTTTTTTTATACCAATCCAAGAAATATAATACTAATTACTATCAAGCAGACCTTAAACGTTTTATTGACATATACCATTATAACACATGATCAAAAAAATATATATATAAAACTAAATAATCATCTCCTATATTAACCATTTAATTTGACTGAAAATATTTCATTTTATACTAATTTATATGTCTGGAACTTCATAAAATAAATTTTAATTTACATACTATTCGGTTACCTATTCAATACTTGGTAACGATGTTAAATTTTCTCATAAATTATAAATAAATATCTCAATGCAAATTAAAATTATTTTTATATTGTAATACAAATACTTTGATGCATTAATTAAAAACAAATATGCTATATAATAATATTTTTATATAAAAACTGAAAATAACCCAGTACCTACATAACCATGGCAATATCTTTGTTTACAAACTAATATTAAATTATATCAGTATACGTTTACTAAAAAAAAAAAAAAAAATAGTTAATACCAATTTATACTCAATACATATTATTCATATTTCAAATAAACTAACTGAACATTAACCGCTAGAAATGACAGACAGCGAGAAAAATACAAGTTCCTATTACACCAGTTTTAAAAAAAATTTTACATAATTGCATTTAATCTTTAAATTATTTATATCTAGATAAATCAAAATTAGCTATCTTACCGATTTACACGACCATCGAACCACAGATCTTGAACCAAAATTTGACAAAAACAGATTTAATATCTACAAAGTCACATGGTCTAGAGGATCAAAATGAAGAAGTGGATAATTTTTTTGAATCAGTATCGAACTTAACGAAAATGTTAGATGCAAAAAATAACGATAAAACCAGTAAAAATGATAACCATATACTAAATGATGTTCCATTGACAAAGGATATGGTTATAAGGTTTGAAAAAATTACTAAAAAATATTACCATGCTCATATAGTAAATTGTAAGTGTATCTATCGCATCCACATAGTGAAATCGCTAATTTCATAAACTGGATATCCATATAGTAAAATTTGTACAGATCGTGAATTTTGATAAAAATACATTGTATGGACATTAATTTAAATGGACAATACCTTCCTATATTATGTAATTTTTATAATTATTATAAAACAAAATTGTTATGTTATATTATAATAAATAATTATAATATCATATCATGATATCATAATTTATTACTAAAATATAACTATACTTTTCTATATAATTTTATGAACTAAAATATTAACAAACAATTAATTGATTGACTTGAATAATAATTAATGAATTATAGGTAGACACCTATACAGTTTTCTTCCTTATTAATCGACTCTTACAAATCGTATTATTTTATTTTTAAAACAAGCACCCCTAATTATTGAAAAAGAGTTTTTTCCTTACATGAACAAGTTTGTCTTCCTGAAATATTTTTAATAATTTATCCCGCAATCATACCRAAAATTCAACATTTTTATTAACTTGATCAGTAGTGAGAAATTCAGTTGTTTATTTTTTCAAACATTCACTACCTAAACTGAACCATCTTTTAAGTAAACCATATTTTGTTTCAAGCTTATGCAATTCTTTTTTTTAAATTATTATTTAAGTCAATCAAGTAATTATTTTGTTCATAGAACAATATAGAAAAGTATAGTTATAGTTTAGTTATAAATTATAGTATTATGATATGATATAATTATTTATTCCAAAATAACATAACAATCTTGTTTCACAAAAATTACATAAAGTACACAATATAAGGTAAGTATTGTCCGTTTCATGAAATAGATGTCCATATAATGAATTTTCGTCAAAATTCATAATCTGTGGATGCGATATATCTATACTTATATTCAATTAAATTATAATTAAAATCACAACATACCCAATAAAATAATTTTCAATCAAAATCAGATCTAAAATAGAGATGRGCTGAACAATGGATTGATTAATTAATTTATTTTGTTTTTGGAGGGGGAGAGATTTATAATGTATAATTATCTATTAACATAYACCTAACCTTAAAATAATTGTTTACAATATAATACGAAAAAAAAACATTATAATTGCATTCTATTTTCTGTTTTTTATCATMATCAATACTAACAGTGCCATCGACAATATTATAATCGATTTGAAGAACGATTTCAAAGTGGAGTCGACGAMTTTTCTGCGGCCAGAGGTACAGAAACCCCACATTGACGACAGCCAAACGAATACTACAGCTTTAAGAAGTGTAGTGATAAATGAAAATCAGTCCGAAAAAGTTATAACAACCACAGTATTATATGATCTAGAGGATCAACGAGAAGAAGACGTGGAGTTGGAATCAGAGAATTTTAAATCAATTTTGATTTCAACAACACCGTTACATGTAAATAATAACACGGAAAACATACCGAATGATGAGAAACTCACAAATAACGAAGTTATAAGGTTAGAAAAAAATTACGATTTATCACAAATTATATCTTTTTTTTCAATTAGCTACGACGAATTTAAATAGAATTGAGGATAAAATAGAGATTTGATAAGTGGTTCTTTAATTTTTTTAAAGCAGTTATTTATGAAATGAATATTTTGTTTACTAATGCCTGAACTTGACGTTATTTAAAATTGGTTCTTAACAGACAATATACAACGATAAATTAATCTATTAAAAGACTAATAAATAAAAATGATTGCTTTCTACAAGTCATATGATACCTGTAGCTAATATTATTATTATTAATATTATCCATACATACAGTACCATCGACAATGTTTTAATCGATATGACAAACGACGTCAAAATGGAGTTAACAACTATTGTTCCACAACCAAAAGAACACAGAGAGAACCCACAGAGAACACACAGAGAAGGCGTTCGAATGAATACTACAGCTTTAAGAAGAGAAATGCATATAAAAAAAAGACTTCAAAATAATAAACACAAATAACAATTTTAATTTTCCTTTTTGTGATATCTTGCATGCATATAAATAATTATACCTAAGCAGTTTTACAAAAAAAAAAAATGTAAGTATAGGCGATACATATCATATCATTGGAGGTATGTTTTACGAAAGTATTATATTATTATGTGACTATGTAAGAAAAGAATATGTTGGATTGAATCTATAATGTTAATGATTATTAATATCGCCAAAATTGAAACACACATTACTGACAAAGTACCGTTGATGTATAAGTATGTAGTACTGCCTACCTATTATACACAATTTCAAATACATACCTAAATCAAATAACATTTTTATGAAAATATAAATTTCGATATTTGATAATTTACTTGGTTTAGTAATATTGTTTAAAGCATACATTTTATATCTATAATTATCCATATTTTTTTTATGTAAACTTTAAAAAAAATATTGATTACTACATGATCTAATAAGTTCAAATTCAGTTTTAGATATTTAAAAGTGTTGAGTGAAACTGTAAGCGTACTTTTAATACCCCCCTCCCACCACGCAAAAATTTTCATAAAAAAAATATGATAATAGAAAAAGAAACAATCTATTATTATGACGTGGAAAGATATGGGAAATATTGAATAACAGTAGGTAAGTAGAAATTTCAATTAGGTTAATTTGACATTGTAGGTATAATATGACGGTTAAATACCTAATAATATGATACTCGTACACTAGAAAAAGTATTAATAATATTTTTTGGAAAACCAACAATTATATTAATTTTCGTATCCAAATTAACGAATTTTGTATAATTACAGGCAATAAAGAGAATAAACCTTTTTTCAGTGAAAACCATTGAATATAATATAAAATTGTAGAAACGTGAAAATATTTTTTTGTCGATAAAAAGTAGTGCTAAATGATACTGTTTATTTTACTGACAAAATATTAGTTAAGTGTTATTTTTTTTTTCAGAAATAGCTAATTATTTTGAGTCGTTTTTTCTTGTTTGTATATGATTAGGTAGGATGTGATTAAAACCTAAATAAATATAACTATAAGATGGTAAAAATTATTCAGAAACATCCATTTAAAAATAATTTCTTTTTTATTTAGATAATATGCCAAAAGTAATGTATTTTTGAATAAATCAATGACAATTTTAACAAGTAATTACATTTAGAACTATTATTTTAAAGAAACTGAATATATCATTTTGAAAATAGTGTACGATAAGACTATAATTTAAAACACTACTAAAATACTTGACATATTATAAGAGAGACATAAATTATACCTAAATGAATAACATACTACTGATTAATTGAAATTAACAAGCGAGTAGTGTGCACAATATGTGGTAGTGAATTTTCAAAAGATAATACTTTTTGATAAATCTTTTACTATAGTTTTCAAAATACGTACACAAAATAAACTCAATTATTATGATGATATTATAATAGTTGTAAATTTATGAAATTTTGAAATTCTAATATTAATATTTTTGAATTATATAATAATATACCCTCTGCAACATGTGCCGTTGGGCTCACAGAGAAAATATCTAATATTACTTATTAGTGATTACTACCTAGTATTACTAGTATTTTTTTGTTTTTTGATTTTACATTATATTTTTATAAAAAATAATTGATAAAACTGMAAAATTTCAGCAATAATAATGTCGCTGTAAACTTATTTACAACTTGTTTATTTGTTTGCATGACCTGAATAGAAAAATATTACACTTTAAATTGTACATTATATATTTAATTGTGTATCAAATATGTCTAAATACCATATTTTTATGATGACTTAAATTATTTATTTATACTTGCTAAATAAAAATGAAATATTTACCACATAATTCCTTTAAAAGTTTTGAATTTAAACAATCAAGCAATTAGTTATCTGTAGTTTTCAAAGTAATTTATAGGTATAGTTATGTATTAATGTTATTACATCGCATGTTTAAAAACATAGACAGTATAAATAGGTATGTTTGTTCAAAAATCATCTGCTCCTATTCGGGTATCCGAAGAAATCCTTTTTTTATTTTTATTTGTATCAATTTTTTTTTATATTTTTGCCCTTTGAGTTCAGGATAGTAAAATATAATATAAGTTTACAAAGACGTAGTAAAATATAGTGCACTAATATTAAGTAAATAGCAAACTTACAGAATTAAACGAGTTAAACTGATTAATCAGTTAATAATATTACCACTGATATTAACACTAAACTATTGTTAGATTTACACTCTGAAACAACAACGCCTGCAACGTGGGCAGGTGGTTCGGGTAATTGTGTTTACTAAACACGTTTGCAACGGGCAGTTAAATAATAGAAGCGTACCTACAAAAATCGCCGGGCAGATTAGTGTAATATTACTCGACACGAGTAATGTTCATTAAAATGAAAAATGAATCGTCCAAGGTCGGGTAAAGCACTCTAAAGATAACAACAACTACAGTGGCGACAGTGACAGTGGAGGCGGTGGGTCCAATTACGTACGGAAACGATGAAAGTTTATTATAGCATTGATTGTAGTATATTATAAATGACATGAAACACAATAACGATTTTCAAACAAATATTACGAATCCGACAACAATTGCAACAAAAACGTCTAAAACTTAATTTTTTTGTAGCAGAGGACGCAGAAATGATTTATCGATTTGAAAATTATAGGTGTTTGGGATAGTTTCAATATCACCTAATATTGTAAATTTTTTGCAAAATTGATAGCCAGCAATAGCCATAATAATTATTGACTTTGCGCAACCGACATTGGTTCGAAATTGTGTTTCACCTTCGATATGAGCAATATCGTGGTACGGTAAATCAGTCGAGGAAGTGCCAGAAATAGAATTGCGCGTTTACAACTGCTGACGGAGGTGGAAAATCGAAGCGGTAGACGTAATAACCTGCAGAGATATAAATCATCCAGTTCATCTCGGGCATCGGCTGACGTCACGAGTTACCAAAATCCATTTAAAAATCTGTATAGCAACTTGCAACAATATACCTAACATAAAAATGAGCAATTTTTAGTTTTCAATTTTTTATAAACACCTGATAATAAGTCTTTTTTTAATAGGTGTCTTATCCTTCGATACATCTAAGTTGGTATTTACTTTACAAAATAGTATGATAGTTAAAAAAAAAATATATATATATATATAGTTTATGAAACCCTGAAAGAAAAAGATTGAAATCGTAACGATCGCCGATGCCCAAGATTAATTGGACCGAGTTATACGTCCTTTTTACTATAGATACTATACTATGCATTGAAATATATCGCGTGAAAAATAGTAAAATATTATTATGCTCATGTTATCTATTTATTAGGATTTCATCATTTGAAATCTCAAAGTCGTGTAAAAGAAACAAACAAAATGATTTATGTATAGTGTGCATGGAAAAATAGCTTACCACGGACGTGATGTCAAACCATAATAACGACAATAATTGGCTCGTTTTTTTGTGTAGTATTATAATGATGATAGTGATAATAATAATCCGCAAAAGTGTTCCGATCGAACATTTCGTCTGATTTAAGCACGACCGTCGTCTTTGGCGATGGCGGCGTGGTACAGTGGCGACGGCGGTGGCGGTGGCGACGAGTTGAATTCCAAATTTCCGGTCTAACAGGTAAAAGGGATATCAAATACTGTACTGCAGTGTCGTAACATCTAGTGTTTGGGTATATATTATTACTATATATAATATGCTTTACTGCAGTGTGTATACGTAGGTAAACGTGTGGACCCATAGATGATGCAACGTGTGGTTGAAGAACGATAATGAAAATTCCTAAACAAACGCGTGCACCTCACCGCTCTCTTATTAATTTATATTGATAAAATATCGGTACAGTGTAATGTGTGGTTTCAGAGGAAGATAATAATATATTGTGTATACATTTATATTATGAAATCGAAGGGTGAGCGGCGGCGGCTACTATTTAAACAGGCCGACAACCCCGAGGACATATATTATCATTTACTACGCCACCGACAAGCTTGGTCGTTATTTATACAATTAAAACACGTCTGGATCGCGAGACTACCCTCCGCCGCTTGCTTACAACGTATGTTTGTATGTATGTATGTATGTATGTATGTATATGTATGTATGTGTATGTGTCTGTGTGTATGTCTGTGCAATCATTATGCGCATGCGCTAGTATGCGAAGGGTTTTATACGCGCATGTGTGTCTGCGTACAGGGTTATGTTATCTCGTCTTCGGTGTTGCCACCTCCGGCGTCAGTATATATACATTTATATCTATATATATCTATATATATATTATATACGTATATACTTTAGGTAAATGTGAGACCGCAATCAAGCAGATTAGGCTCAGATGGTCGGATTAAGACGGTAAAGGGGCTTTTATTGGACTCGGTTGCGTCTACTATACTCACTGGCTCCATAGCTGTGGATCAATCGGCCCCGGACGCTATATTACGGTATATACTACGTAATATTTGAACATAATATTAAGCATATATATTTATTTATAATACATTATACAGGGTAACATGTTTTGACGTATATTTTAAATCGTTATTTTATTTTTTAAATAATAATATGTTTCTTCATGTTTCTTTGATTAATTGCAGTTATTTTGTTCATAAAATTATTAAGCTATTCTGTTTTTCGATTATTTGGTTCCCAGCAATTTTTATTATTGCCTAAAATACCTAAAAGAAAATTTTACGATATATTTTGATATGTAAACATACCTTCACAATCCGAAATGAGAATATCGTATCTATTATACGTAACAAAGAAAAAAAATATCTGAGTAAATATACAATAATAAAAACGACAACAATTGCACGTACTCGTCGAGCATACCAATTAAAAACGATCTCATACTCATTTCAAAAATTCTTATAAAAGTATATTATACATGTATATATGACTTTGTTCTTTGTAAAAGATTCATATAGTTTTTGGTCGCAAGAAATAACAATTTATAAAAAGTTATTGAACTATCACACATGCTAACT